ACACACACACACACACACACACACACACACACACACACACACACACAATCTTTTTAAAAAAGAACACCACTCTGGGCGGTGGTGCACTTCTTTAATCCCTTTATATTATAGTAAGTATTAGAAGTCAGAGAAGGTTTGAAGTATATACAACATGTGTAGGTTGTATGCAAAATTGACACAAGTTTACCTTAGGGGAATACACATCTCCAGATTTTAACATGCTTGGAGTCCTGAAATCAACTCCTTGTGGGTACCAAGAACAGCATGAGAACCCAGATATGCAGTTTCAGAAAGGAGCATCTTCAGTACCTTCACAGCCATCTGTGCAGCTCTTGCTTCCTTCTAAAGTTACATTTCTGTACTAATCATTTCCTTTTTTCATACACAAATACTTCTAAACAACATATCCTATTTCCCAATTCTTGGCTCTTTTATAATATAAATTTTACTATATATGCACTCCCTGTGACATCCTTTTTCTTTCTCAATGCTGTTTTTAGGGACTCCCTACTAATCAAGCTCATGAATACCTATAATTCATTCATCTTCCAATGTTGCACAGAATTCTGTGAGAATATAGACAGACTCTAATCTATCAATTCTTATACTGACAGACATATTGCTGTTTCTAATTATCTTTTATAACAATGTTGCAACGTGGAATCCAATACATGGCTTCTGTGCATATACATAAGTGTTTCTTTAATCTAGTCCCCACGAATAGAATTTCATGCTTGTCTTTAAATATCCCATTTTTCTTAATCTTCACCCCATTTTTAATAATTTATTTTAATAATTTTTGCTGGCTATATATATTATCTCAACAAGTATATGCATTAAGCTTCTTCCCTATTGTTGAACATATACGATATTCTAACATTTTTGAGGAACTTTGCATACAAATCTGGGAAATAAAGCAATACCTGTGTAGAAGTCTCTGCTCTTTTTCATCCCACATATTGTAGTATTTTGTTTTCTTTTCAGGTCTAGATTCTCAGAAAAGTCTTTGGTTTTATTTTATTAGTAGTAGTAGTAGTAGTAAAGACCAATTTATTAACTGAACCAATTTACAGTCTATGGGAGGTTTTCTATGGCTAAAATACATAAAATAATCCCAACCCAAGCAGTTGCTAATCCTTTTGAGAGTATAATTAAAGGTCCTTTTCACTAGGGGAAAAAAACAAACAAACAAAAAATTTAAAAAACAAACAAGTGAAAACTAGATCTATAAGAATTCGAAGGGCTTCTTAAACCCTCTGAAGCCTGCATATTGATATCACTATTGAATTAGAAATATTGACCTTCTCTTAGTCCATCTGTGTTGCTATAATATAATACTCAAGGCAGAATACTTTATAAAGAAAATATTTATTTAGGTCACATTTCAGGAAACTTAAGAGCATGGTGGCATTTGCTTGCTTCTAGGGAGGCCCTCACAGTGGATGGCATTAAAATAGTGGGAGAACATTAAAGAGTAGCCAGCAGCATACACAGAGAAGAAACAGGAGTTACCCAACAGCCTGCTCCCTTCCCTGTGAGAGGAAGCATATACTCCCATGACAAAAATATCAATCCCTCCTAAGACCTGGTCACCCTCCACTGGGTTCCATCTCTTAAAAGATTTTACTAGTTCCATACAGCTATCCTGGAGATGAAAACAGTACAGGAATGCCTAGATTGAAAAGCACTGTCTGAGTTCTAGTATCCTATGCTTCTGGATGTGATGTTACCTGCTAAGTTCATAAACCAATTATGCCTGATATCATCATTTCATTTGTTTTAATCTACCACATAGTAAGAGTTCATGAAGCATCAGCAATATGCCAGACACCGGTTTCCTTTAAAATCTCTGTTTTAAGGAAAAGACTCTACAGAAGAAGGCAGAACAGAAAAAAACATATGCAGTAAGAAGTACTTGTTAGGCAAATAGAGGTAATGTTATGACATGATAAACTGTCTTTACTAAAGGGCTGTGAAGAATGAATATTCTGAGAATGTTATAGGTAGGGAAAGCAGTACTGGTGAAGGCAAAAGTAAACTGAATATGCATAGGAAATTTTACAAATGTTGAAAGTGGTAGAATTAAAGTGGTAGAAATTAAAATATCATCACATGATTTTAGCAGATGATTTGACAGCCCAAAGGAAACCACAAAAATTTTCCTCCCATTTTATTATAAAAACTTCATAGTGCATACACAGCAAACATTTTGCCTTTTTTTCTCTAACTATATAGAGCACTGTGCTCAGTTCAGCAGCACACAAGTTTTTAGTGTGTGTGTGCCTATGTATATATATGAATGTACACGTGTGTGTTGGGAGTGTGTGTGTATGTGTGTGCATTTGGATGCCTGTGCACATATGTATTCAGGCATGTGTGTGGAGGGCCAGAGGTAAGTATCGGGTATCTCCCTCCAGTTTTCTTCCTTTTTTAAGACAGGATCTCTCACTGACCCTGCAGCTCACTGATTTGGATGCACTGATTGGCCAGAGAGCTATAGAGATCTGCCTGTCTCTGGACAACAATGGTCACAAACATATACTGCCATATGTGGCCTTCATGTCCGCGCTGGAAATCTGAACCCAAGTCATCATGCACGTACAACAAACACTGATGGAACCATCTCCCCAGCTTTGGCACACAGGTTTTAAAATTATTTATTAATATAATCAAGTGCTTTCATTTTATAAATAGAAATACTAGAAGACCTGAAAAGTACTTACTGTAATTTTCTTCATAAAATGGCTTTTAAATTTTTATAGATAAAAATGTTTTTCACATTGATATAGACTGTTGCTTTTTAACCTGTTGGTTCACACTCCTATCAAAATTGTTTATAATAAAAAATAATATTTTGTGTGTGGAATAGAGGCAAGAAGACAACTCTGTGGAGTCAGCTCTCTCCCTCCATCTTTATTGGGGTCATGGTAATTGAACTCAGGTCTCCAGGCTTGTGCAATAAACATTTCTACCAGTTGAGCCATCTCACCACTCCTACCCTAATATTGAAGCTCTAAATAAGCAAGGGTTTGAGATGCAGCTCATTGGGAGAGAGCTACCATGCATCTCTATCATGCATGAGGCACAGGGTCTGATGTCCAGCAGTATAAGAAAAATCAATAAGACAAAACTAATTATAATGGTTTTGTCTACAATTGCTGTCACAATTTAACTACAATAGAGCTTTCAAATTTTTGGAACATGTCTTAGTTTCCTGCAGAAAATTAATACAATCAGTTGTGATAATGCAATGTAGATATCTTTATAGACTTTTATCAGAGGCATAAAAATATATTTTTGGGTTTTTTCTAGTGTTTTCTTTCTATATACTTTTTCTCTTGAAAACTTATTTTGTTCAGCTTCCTGGCATAATTATTTTGTTCCTTTAAAATACCCAATTCATGTATATCATACAGACATTTGTTAACTACTTAAGGTTTGATTATAAAGAACAGACAAGTATGTTTTAAAAATTTAACTTAATCAACTGAAATATAATTTTCTTTTTAAGATAGGGTCTCATGTTGTCCATACTGGCCTGTAATTCCCTATGTAGTCAAGGATGACCTTGAACTCCTGATCTTCCTCTTCTCATCAACCCAGTGATGGGATCAAAGGTATGAGCTATTATGAGCAGCTAAGGTGGAATAAATTGACTTAAGGTCATTAAGTTCCTGGTACAAAGAAATGACAGACTTCTTGCTGTGTCTTTTCAAAACACCCTTCAGATGTTTAATGGGATAACCAGACAGTATCTCATTAAACATGATTTAACTGTCAAAACAGATCTTCTTTACGGAAACCTTGAAATAATAGAAAGATACACTCTTGTTATGGGTTATGTAATAAACATAGAGTATCCTCCACTTCCAGAGTTCAGAAAGTCTTCACATATATAAGTCAGAAATCCAAAGGGAGCAGACTTAACACATCTTGATAGAAATCCCAGTGAATGGCACAGAGGACAGAAAGCAGAGTGAATATATGCTATTGTTTGTTTATTTGAAATTCTGAGGATAGAACTGAGGATAGGTGCAAGTGACCTCAGCCACATTTCCAGACCAATAATATATGTCATATATATTTGCTGGTGTGATTTGCTTCATGAAAAGGAACTATCCCATATGGTATCTTCTCCTCAAGTGGTAGACACTCCTTTAATGAACTTGAACAGAATGTTGGTCAGTACATGAAAAATTCAAAGCCTTCCATTAAGTGAGCTAAGTGATTTTTAGCACTTACCTGAAGACTTCTAAAATCACTCACTACATTAAAAAGTGAAACAAATCTACAATAGGTACAAATTATATACATTTATTAATAATTTTAAATAACACTCTTGTATAAATTCTTTCATATATTCAAATCATACACAACTTTAGAAATGCATCATGAAGCCTAGTACAGCACACATAGGAGACATGTTTTTAGATTTTGGGTTAGGATTTAGTGACATAAATACAAGCTTAATTTTGTGAAACATTCCCTAATTGACTGGGCCGAAATTTAAGAGTACAGAGAGCTTGTGCCTAGCATTAAAAGTCGACTAGAAGTCATGTAGCTTTGGGTTAGCATGAATCTGAAGCTCTGGGCTCACTGACTCCAGGGCAGCTAAAGTTTCTGCGTATGCATAAGCAACAAGGAAGATCCTTGATACCTTTGGAAAAGTATCATTCAAACCACTGCCATTTTAATGATCCATACCTTTAGCCATGTGCTATTATTTGACTTCTTCAGATTGATCACTGTCTCCTTCCTGCTTCTCCCCATGGCATAGCCACTGGCTCAGGGTGAAAGAAAAAGACAAATTAACCTCCCATCACCTCCCCCAGCTCTGCACATGGACACCAAACTCATTTCAGCCCCTAAACCATTTGCTGTCAAAAGCAACAAGCTAAATTTTTTTTAATTTTTGTTTTGTTTTGTTTTGTCATGTGTGTGTGTGGTCACTAAGATTTCTGTTGACCTAACAATTCCACTGAATTCTTTTAACTTATTCTGAATATTTTGTCAGAGAGATTTCCTTATGAAATGAAGAAACCCAACTCCTATCCACATACTACTTCAAAATATAAGAATCTAGAGACAGTCATTAGAATTAATCTTACATTTACAAGCATGGAAAAACAAAACAAAATGGACCAGGGTAAATGATACATAATCAAGCTCCAACTGACTCTGTTCTAAAACACAATATCTTGATGATCAGATAACTCAAATTAACTAGTATGTCTGTGAGTATTGCTTTGATGATTAATGATTCTGGGAATATTGGGAGTAAAGAAAAGTGTTACCTTTTGGGATTTAGATAGTGTTGTTAAAAGAAATGTATCTTCCCAGCCCATGTCTGTCCTGTTGCCCTCTCTTAAAATCCAACTATCCCTGGGAAAAATGATGCACTGAGTCCATAAGACCTTCATATAAATAAGAGATTTCATTATCATTTTGCTTTCTCTGTAGTTGGAAAAACTGTAAATGAGAGCCCTGGGAAGCAATGTGGAGGATGGTGGTGATAAAGGAGGTCAAAGACATGCTTGACACTACCACATCTACCTAGCAGAAATGCACAGGTGTCATTCTTTATAGATAAAGCATGACCTATGGCTGATTATATAATGGATATGAACACACCTTCGTGTGAGTACTTAGGAATGTCCCAAAATTGTTTTAGTAATATACTTGTGAAATAAAAGTATGCAAAGACAATGTCTCTTCCAAAAAGAAAAAAAAAAAAAGGAAAAAAGAAAGAAATGCACAAGGCTTACTAAGATGAGCTAATGAAGATGCAAGCATCAGTTCATTCATACCAGTGATGATCATGTCTCAGTAAGGTTCATGTAGGTATTATATATTAAAAAGAACATTTTTTTTCAATCCTTAGACAAAAATTGTTCCAACACTAGGCTTTCCAGAGAACTCCTGGTGCTGGTTGGTGATGCCTCCAAAGGAATGAAAACCCTGCACTGTGTTTTGTTTTACACTGGTTTTCTACTCTACTTTCAAGGAGAGATCCCCTCATGGTTACCTTTAGAGTAGAATTATTTCTACAAGCAGAGCACTGGGGTCCCTAAAAATGTTGTTTAAAACACATTTAAGGCTATACTTTTCTTCATTGTGAAAAATCAAGAACATGACTTCGGAGCCATTAACAGGTACTTGGATAAACATTTGTGATTTAGTTTCTGTGTTAGCTCTTAAGATTTGTTTCAGGGAATCGCTATTAAACTGGAATCTTAACTATTTGACTTTAGCTCTTAAACTCATACAAACACTCCTTATTTATTTATTAAGTATCTGTTTAAAAACTGTTTGCTTTTATCTCCTTACCTTTATTCTTGGCAGAAGATGGAGTATTGGGGAGGCAATCACTGTGCACAATGCTTTGGAATTGTGTGATGTACAGTCAACACACAGTTGTGCTACAACTTCTAGGAAAAGTCTCACCACTCCCCTCCCCATTACAGGAATTCACCATTTTAATAAACAATAATTGGCAGCTTTTGCTTTCTCATCATGAATCCTGACTTTAGATTGAAATTATCCTGTGTTCTTTCCACAAAGTCCTTTGTAACTATGTGGCCCTAAAATTGTATCTGCGAGACAACCCTCCCCCTCACACACAGGGGAGTAAGCACACTGAAGAGCATACAGAGGGTCTATTAGAAGCATCCACAAATGGGAATCCTCATTCCAGTTTTCTAGGGCTCATGGCTAGTAGATTTATATGTTATCACCGAGCCAAATGTCTACTCAGTAGATGTAAGAATGATTCCAAGAATAATAATGATACACATTATATAATCCTGAATAATTTAACCTCTCTGTATCTCAGTTTCTTCATCTATAAAATGGGTACAAGACTACTTCCCAAGGAGGATATGGTGAGGCTCAAAGAACACACATGGAAAAGTGTTTTGTATATGACAGAGCAATAAAAATATTAATATATTCTGTAATTCTTGGGATTAAACCCATAGACTCAAATGCAATCAATCAGCTACATGTAAATAGTTTCAGTACAATGAAATATAATGTCTACTTTCATAAAGACAGCCAAATATGCAGAGCACCTTCAGGTTACCTACGGATCCTCTAGTCTACAGTCATCTCCAAACCCTGAGAAAAAGGTGGGGGTCTCCTACTGAGAATGACCAAAATTTATGTTTTTCTGTCTGAGGAAATTAAGCAAAGGAGTCTGAATTTCCTATGTCGTCTCTGTTTTCATTTTTCCTAACTACTTCATAGTCTGGACCAACTTTCTTGTCTCTCCTAATGTACAACCTGTGGATATATATATAACACATAAAAGCAGTAGTACTTGGCCTCAGGGAAAAATGGTATCGAAAGCAAGAACTAAATACACACCCAATCAGAGAGACCCTATGCCCAGACATGAAGAATAATGAACTCTAACACTGAGAAGCCAAACATACTTTATGATGTGTGGGTGATAGATTATGCCCAAATGTCAGAGGCCTGTACTTTGGAGGTTATGGGAGGCACATAAATACTTCATGGGCATAAAAAACAAAACAAAACAAACAAAACAAACAAACAAAACGAGGGACCCCAAGTGATGTGATGGCTTTTCTTTTTGAATTTAACATTTCTATCCTTTGGAAGACTGTCTTTTACATTCAGGAAAGAAGTCTTTTCCTGAGGATGTTTACAACAAACATTGTAAAACACAGTGTGGCTAATTTGGTGAGTCCGGAGAATGTAGCCTGTGTTCTAGCTTAACAATTGCAGCCTTCAAAATCTATTGCTTGAATCTATAGTAAGTCAAAGACATACGACTCTAGGTTGAGAGAGGAAAGATTAAAAACATTTGATCTTTTATAAATTTCAACAGTGTCCAAACAGGGACTAAAATGACTGATACTCACCAGAGTCCCAGCTTTAGCAAAATTGCTACCTATTTTACAGAATTTTAACCAATTTTCTATATCTTCTTTTTACAACACCATTAACAGCTGTACAGATAGAGTCTAGATGATAAAATAGGACATGATTTTTTACAAATAGATACAAGTACAATGTTGAGCAGATATGCTACATTAATTATGTACACCTTGTTTCTTTAAAGGCAGAAACCTCCCCTGAGGAGGTCCATCAACTTTCTGCTCTCTGGGTGCTGTGCCTGCCCTCACCACAGAAGCTTATCCTGTGCTTTAATCCCATCCTTGAAGGAGACTTTTGGGAGGAAAGCTCTTCTACAGATTCTCTTGGGACTTCTTTACCCTTAGTCTTTTTTACACACAATCAAGATTTTTTTTTTAACTGTGGTATAGCCTAGATACCAGCTTTTCCTCAGTTATATGTCTTAGTACAATAAAATAAGCTTAATCCCTGCCTCGCCTTTAAAAAATGTTTCCAAAATGGAGATGAAGTCTTCCACCAGCCTTTTTCCTCCAAATCATCATTCTGTCATGGCTGATGAGGTGAACACTTTCCCAGCAGTCTATTGAGAGGCCAGGTAGACTCAGGCCGCTCTGTGGGATTCAGCCTTTCCATGCACACATGTGGTTTGCTACAAAAATATACTTTACTTCAAGTCCTCAAGATGATGAGTGCTTCAGATCTTCATGGGAAATTAAGAGTAACACACAGGCTAAGCGCACTACAGTTTGTACCTGAACAGTTTATTCACACGACACCATTCTCAGCAAACTCTACCCAGATTCTGTGTGGCCAGAGGGCAGATGCTGTTTTAGTGAGCATGTGTCCTGACAATCCAGGAAAACTGCTCAGCTCCTCAGGCTTTGTAGTTATGAATGGGTGTTGTCAGGGTCAGTTGCCCATTGGGAGCCACTTCATTGCCATCATCCTCCAACAATCCTGACACATCTGCATTAGGGATGCTGTCATGGTAGCTGCTGAAACTGATATTGTCTTCTTTCAGCTCGATGGTCCAAAAGGGAGCATTGAGTTTCCGGTTTTGGTACTCTCGGTACATGTACACAGCTCCTACAAATCCCATTAGCAGCACTACCACAATGATGATGACTGTCAAAATGATGATGTTAAACTGGGTCCATGATACATCAGCGAGAGCTGAGGTGCTGTTCTCAGAAGAGCTTACTGAAAAGATAGTCTGTAGGGTTGTGAGGGCAAATGTACTATTTAAAACAGGGGTGGGCACTGATGTGCTCAAAGAAGCATTGGAAACCAAAATGGTAGAACCTTCAGGAGTTGGAACAATAACTTCTGAAAATAAAAACAGAGAATGAAATGTAAAAGACAAAATTATCTAGTTTTGAGAAACAATAAAAAATACACATGAGTGGAAGTTGATGTGGGATGTTGACATGGTACTCTGCTTAGGGTAATGCAAGTTAAAAATAATTTTAAAATAAATATAATGATAAGAAATGGTGTCTGGAAAACTCACTTATTACATTTTACATCCAGGTCTGTTCTTGAATGTGTATAACACACACTTAAACTTTCGAAAAATTCTAACATGGAAGTTTTCCATCCCATAAGCATGAATATTTCTGCAAAGGCAGTGTGTCACCACCGAGTTCTAAATCACATGATTAAAAATGACAATTATTTGACCTAAGATATATCCAATACATCTTAAGACCTTTCATGAAGGTAATTTTCCTCAAAGGAAGTATAAAAATCTATTCCGCCCCCCAAACAAAAAAAGAAATTGAAATGCTCAGAGTTCAAGTCAACCAAAAGAGAAAAGAGCTTTCCTTTAATTCTATAAGTAGAGTTCTTGCTTTGTGTGTTTTTGAACTATTCTATGGTAAAGGAACTACATTTTCGACCATTAATGACATCAAAGCTCAGTGGAAGGGTGAAAGGCTTTGGACTAGATTAGGATTGTATTACTACAAGTAAGTCTCTTAGAATTTTAGATTTTTCATCTGTTAAACACGAATAGTAATGTCTGCTTCACAGAGTTCTTGGAAAGACTTCAATGAACATTATGGGTACTTGATAAAATTATAATAAAAAATAGATATTACTATTCATCACCACACTCTTCTACATCAATTAATCTAAAAACAGCAAAGCTTGTATTTCTTCATGGTTAACAAAATCAGAGTCCTGTCTTCTTGGTACTTCTTGGTCTGGACAAAGTATGTCTCCCACATAGAAGAATGCTAAGTGACAGCATTTCTAGCTAGTGATGTGGGTCAATCTGATCACTGTAGTAGAATAATATCAAGAGTATGCCTGAAAGATTCCACAGGTCACAGACCACCTTGACTTCAGCTCAGTAATCAATGTGCATTAGAATATCAAGAAGTAGTTTATATAGAAAAAGGTTAACCCCTCTGTGGACTAATAATCCCTGGACATCCCTAGATCCTCCTGAACTCATAACTTAACCTTTCTTTATTCCTCACTGAACTCCACTTCTTGAAGCATTCTATCATATGAATGCCTTTTTCCTTTCAAAATCAAATGGAATATTAATAAGATTTCATCTACCACACACAGATCCATGTTAAATCAGTGTGAAGAGGCTAGAAAGAACTCCAGTTTCCCAGATGGAACTTCTAAGTAGACTTGACTATAGGTCCATCCCTGAATAGGTCTTTGATGATCACTGAAATGATGTGTCAAGAAGCAAAGAAAAAGAAATGATTGTACTTTCAATTATAACAGACAGACAGAAGAAGGGAAACATAAGGACACTTGGTCTCATTGTCACAACAGTTTGTCTTGGTGTTCACATTTCTGGAATTGACATTGGAGTATCAGGAGACAATCAGGAAGGGAAAAAATCCCTTAGGCAAACACCTATCAAAATTTATTTCCAGAAACTCCTCTGGAAGGACTGGAATGTTTACAAAGCTAATGGCAGCTGTCTTGAAACATTCAATGCTAGCCTTAGACAATATACATGTAATCTTAGTTGGAGTTTTACCTTGCTTGATGCAGTTTCTCTGAAGGTCTCGAACATAGCCTTCTAGGCAGTTCTCGCACCAGAACCCAGTGGTGTTATGAAGGCAGTTGATGCACTCACCACTCTCAGGCTTGCAAATCTTTGGAGTATTAGTTGGGTCCACATGGCCATGGCATTCACATGGTGTGCAGATGCTGTCAGAATTGTAATAGCCATTGTCACATTGATTGCAGTTCTGGCCTGTGTAACCATCTTTACACTGGACACATGTAGGCTCCAATTCACCAGATTCTAATAGAGTAATAGAATTAGAAAGAACATCAAAATAATTTAGTAATGCCTAGACCTACATTGAAAAATAGAAAACTATTTGCCCTCCAAAAGTTTTTTACAAATCCTCCCTGGTATCTTCCTCAAGAGATATACAGAATCAATAGTCTAGTTCATTAACTTTCAAGTATATTGAAGGAATGCTGAGCCTGTCCAGGGAGTCTACTGAGGTAGAGGGTAAAAGACATGTTTTCACCAGAAGTCTCAACAACTGTGATATATTGTAAATGTGTGTGTGTGTGTGTGTGTGTGTGTGTGTGTGTGCGCGCGCGTGCATGTGAACTTATCCACATAGGTAACAATATACATATGTATGTCAGTGGACAACTTGCTGGGATCTTTTCCATCTACCATGTGGGTCCTGGGAATCAAGTTCAGGTTGTCAGTTTTGCTAGCTTGTAATTTTATCCACTGAGCCATCTCACGGGTCCTTACATATGAGTTTTTCCTTCCTTCTTTCCTTCCTTCCTTCCTTCCTTCCTTCCTTCCTTCCTTCCTTCCTTCCTTCCTTCCTTCCTTCCTTCCCTTCCCTTCCCTTCCCTTTCCTTTCCTTCTTTCCTTTCCTTTGAGGAATGAGAGACTATACAAAATATAGTTTAAGCAAAACTTTTTCCATCCCTTCCCTCCCTAAATGTTGATACTCCTAGGCTTCTTTTTGTTTTCTGTAGTAAGCACTTTCTCTGCCACTGAGCTAAACCCCAAACCATTACTCAAAGACTGCTATGCTTGGTTTCTTTCACCTTTCACTCTATGCATGCTCCATGGGTGAGTTCATCCACTTGTATAAGTCAACTTGGAAAATGTGTATATCCAGTCCATTTCTCTATCTTAAATTACAAACTGCATATGATGCACAAATTGCCTGTATACCTGGGTCTATAAACATTTCAAGTTTAACACAGATGATTCTATTTAACATGTTCCCCATATTTTAGTGAATGGTCCCAACATCCATCTACTTGCCTAGATCCCAAGGCTAAGAACCAACTTTCAATTCTCCATCTCCTTCCTGCTTTTGAGCAGTTAGCAGTTCATTTCAGTGTTACATTAAAAGATTCTTAATCTACTGATCTGTCTCCATTCCATTGTTATGCTCCTGGTTAAGGTTGTCATCATTTTTTTTAACCTCTAGCACTCAACATTTTCTAAAGCTTCTTTTCTACAGTACATTCCTGCAGTCTCAATGATCTTCAAAGTGAATCTGAGTACATGTTCTGCCTCCCTAGAGGAGCCACTTCAATTCTGATGGCTTCGGACCAAATGAAAATTTAGTAGATTTTTCTACTGAAAATTATCTAAGACTTGCTTACTTTTCCTAGCTCTTCTCATTTTTCTTCACACTTCACCATCTACTTTATTTCAAGCTTGTCAGGTGGCTTAGGAGTACTCCCAAAGACTGCCTGCTTTCTTCTCTCTGAAATGTTATATATACTGTTTCCTTTACAAAAAGCACTCTCTTGCTTTCCTACCCCTTATCACCATGTAAATACAAACTGCAGGAATTAATTCAGGTATAACTTCTCAGAAGCCAAAAGATTGTACCTGATTTTCTGTTTGGGTTAGAATTACTCTATGCTCATCCATAACACAGAGCATCTAAGTCGTAATAATTAGATTAGTTGTGTATCTGACCCATTAAATTATAAGCTACTTGTGTTCCATCTTTACCTCCAATCTTTTTGTAGTGTCTTATACAGTATATGTTCAATAAATGTTTGCTATTTGCATAATTTCATCTGACATAGTGGAAACATACTGACTCATACCTAGATACCCTTTTCAAGTCTCCATAAAATTGATTTGAGCTTCTCAATTAGATTTGGTAAGTAATTTTTAATAGAAAATTGTAACTTAATTCTTAGAATTTACAAATTTATTAGCAGAATCATCTTGGTCTCTAAACACAGTATTTAATTATAGAAAGAATAATTTACAAGGGTCATAATGCTACAGCAAGGACCCTACCCCAGACTCTGTATAAAAAGTGAATGCCTTTGTCTATCTTATTAAGAGTTTCATTTAAGAAACAATTCATAATTTGTCACCCAAAGAATATAATTCAAGGGTTTTCAGGATAAGCCACAGAGTTGTGTAAGTAATAAACAAATTTAATTTAGCATTCTTAGTCCCAGTGGTCATGTGGAATCAAGTTAAGTCAATAAACTCAAGAACCTTATTGCAAACAAAGGACTTTAAACCAGAAATACTCGAATCACTTTGCATGGAAAAAACAGTGACAACTGAATTAATTCATATTTTTTGCAACAGAAAAATACTCAAAAAAGGCTTAGACTTCTTGTCTTTTAAGAAGCTTATAATCACAATGGTATCATATTTTAACTTTTATAGTTAACAAAAACTCATTTCAAAAAATTCCAGATGAAATAGATTGAAGAGCTAAAATCAAGGCTTGTGAAAGTATTTCATCTCTCTAATATTTATAACCTGAGGACCCAATGAGATGGTATTAAATATCTGCCTCCTGTTTTACTCCTTCCTTGTACTTTGCTTCTACTATACCTAGGAAGTTCTTTGTTCAGATCAGTGATTTTAACATTCCTGTTGTGCCTTTGTTCTTGTTTATTTGTTTTTACAGAGTGTCTCACAGTGTAGCCCAAGCTGGCCTTAATTGTGATTCTTCTGCCCCTTCCTCCCTACTGCTCACTGGGATAATGATTTTTGACCTGAAATGTCCTCCTTCTCATTGACACTCACAAGACTATCTCTTTCTGAAACTATTATATTACACCGCTAGTGTAGAATATTCCCCTTTGTGCTGGCTATTTTTATGCCAACTTGCCACATACGGAACTTCAATTGAGAAAATGCCTCCACTAGATGGGTCAATGGGCAAGACTGTGGGACATTTTCTTTATTGATGATTGATGTGGGAGGGCTTAGCTCACTGTGGATTGTGATACACCTGTTGGTTTTGGATGCTATGAAAAAGCAGGCTGAGAAAGACACCAGGAGCAAGCCAGTAAGCAACACTCTTCTATGACTTCTGCTTTGGTTCTTGCCCTGACTTTGCTCTGAGATATTACCTGAAAGTTTAAAATGAAATATATCCCTTTCCCCCAAATTGCTTTTGGTAGTGGTGGTTTAGCACAGCAGTAGAAATCCTAACTAACACAGCCTCTTAGTGAACTCATGTATAGACTGACTTACTACATTGATCTTATTTGTATGTTGTTTGTGCATTAGACACAATGATCTCTGAAAGTATCAAAATGAACTGGCTTAGTACATTCTATCCCTACAGGCACATGCATGCCTAATTGGATTGCTCATGTCCTAATTCAGTGTCTGGCTGTTATTTATCACCTCTAAATGGATATATTTCTAACTGTCCCAGTATTTACTTTTCATTTAAATGTAACCTGTCCCATAAAAACTTTTTCTGTATTTACCAGTAAAAAGTATAAGTCTCTCAAAGTGCTCCTGACTCCAGTTTTATATACCTAATTACTATTGCCCCTGAGTTATGGTTATCTCCCTTTCCACTCACCCAACATGTACTATTGGCATTAATAATTAATACTCTGGGACTAGAGAGCGAATGATTAAAAATATAGACATCATCTCTGCTCTTGTGCATCATACAGTGTATAAAAAAGGCATATAAGAATAAAAGATTTCAAGCATATTAGTTTTCACAGCAATTTTCTTTTCACAGAGAAATTCTACATTTTAAATTCATCAATGGAAGAGAATCTAGTCGGTCACTCAACTGAACAATTTTAAAGTGGGATCCTAAGTAAATCTCTGTGTTTAAAAAAATTACTCAAGATGAGCCAAGAACTTAAACAGCCAACGTTCTGATTTACAAATCCTATAAATGTCTTAAATGTTAAATTGTCACTAACAGAATGTCAATACGTATGCTTTGGAATTCTGTTATTACAGATGTAAATTTAGATAATACACAATTTCCATATTCCTGACTCATGATGATAGTCCTAACTTATTCTAAATATTTAATGTATAATGTATTAATATATAATATTAATATATTCTTTTTATATAATATACTTAAAATTATATATTATAATTTTATACTTAATTTATAATTATATACTTAAAATTATATTATAAAATATAAAGTGAATATATAAAGTACATATTATATAACATATAATATATACTTTATACACACAGTGATAATTAACAATATATGCTATATGAAAATATCATCCTTTTTAGGAAAAATAAGGGAAAAAATTTAGTCCCAGGGACAATGCACCATATCCATAACTGTGTGTTTTCTTCTCTATGACACTGAATACTCCTTTGGAACAAACCCATATTTTAGTTTTTAGACTTTTGCATTCCTTGTCTATCATAATAACAAGAATGTACTAAGTGCTTAATTACTATTTGTGAAATAGATCAAAATTTTTTTTTCAGAGCTTCCTATAAAAAGAAGAACACACCAGTTCCTATTACTAGGAATAACAACTGACTTCCCAGATGCTGTCAAATGAACCCAATTCTTGGTATTCACATGTTTATACTTGATAGAATAGACATGAGTAAGTTAATGGAGTACTGCAAACATCTCGGCTTTAGATACTAGATGATAGAACACATTGCAGCTTCCATCTTGCCCTGTTTTGGGTCATTCACTTGTAGAGGAAGCCAGCTGCTATGCTGTAAGGATATTAAGTGGCTTACTAAGGAAGTCCACATTGTGGCAAACAGAATCTTTTGTCCCTAGCAAGCCATATAACTTAGTCATATTGAAAGCAGATTCTACAGTCCCAATTAAGCCTTCAGACTTCTGACGACAGTCCTAACATTTTGACTACATTCTCATGAGAAATCCTAAGCCAACATAAACAATTCAGGAAAATTAAACTGAATGCCTCTGAAATTAAACAAGCAAGCAAACAAAAAAAATTAGTTTTAAAAAGGACATGAAGCAAGTAAAAAAAAAACTGGGTCATGGGATAAGAGAAAATACATACAAATTATTGTTTTATAAAACCCTTTTTACTTAAATATTTTACAATGCTAGAGATCAAACCTACGATATCCTACCTACTAGGCAAGAACTTTCTCATAGAGGACTACACTAATTTTTTTTTTTTACAAATCATACATCTGATAAGTGATTTGTACATATAACTATATCAATACAATGATAAAAATAAATACTACAGTTTTAAGATGAACAAAAACCTCAAATAGGTATTTTCTCCAAAGAAATACAAAACTAGTCATTGAATATATAATTAGCCATCAGAGACAGACAAATTAAAACCACAATGGAATACCATTTCACATCTGTTAGGATGAATATCAGTAGAAAAAAAAATAAAGGTAGATAATAAGTGTTGTTGAATCTTTAGACAATTTAGAATCTTCATATATTCTTGGCAAAAGTAATAATGCAGGGACCGTAACACAGCTTGATCAGTAAAGTACTTGCTGTTCAAGCATGAGGACCTAAGTTTTGATCCTCAGAAACCATGTGGAACACAATGGCATGGTGTTACACATATCTTTTTTGGAAAGGTAGATGCAGGTATATTCCTGGAGTAGTTAGCCAGCTTACCCAAATTAGTGAGTTTCAGGTTTACTGAGAAATCTTGTCTCAAAAACAAAACAAGACAATACAAAGATTGAGACTGGAGAAAAGGCTCAGAGGTGAAGAGCAGAAATGGTTCTTATAGAGTTCAGTTCCCAGCATTCATGTTGGATAGCTCACAATGGCCTGTAACTCAAGCTTTGGGGACTCAGAGGATTGGATGCCCTTTTCTGGCCTCCACAGGTACTGCACTCACATGGACATAATATTTTACGCGCACACACACACACAAATAAAAAAAAATTAAATCTTAAAAAAATTGGTTGGAGGGTTACTGAAAACACATGATGTACATCCGTGCTTTTCATATGCAACATGCCTGTGCCCACACAAACTCATACACAATACATGTATACCACCCTCACAAAATGATAACATAAAATGGTGTTCTAATTTTGGGAAACCATCTGATACTTCCTCACAGAGCTAAACAGAGTTGATATATGACATAGCAATTCCACCTCTAGTTATATACCATGAAGAAATTAAAATACTTTCACATACAAACACTGGGAGTGGGGGAAGGAATGCAGCTCAGGGGCAGAGTGCTTGGCTAGTACAAACAAATGAGTTCCTGGGATCAGTCTTCAGTAGTGGGGAAAACATACAACAACCGCTGACTTGAGGGTGTACTGGCAACATTTATATGCACAAAAACATGAACAGAATTGTACATATTTGCAATACTTGTAGTAGATAACTTTTACATTTCCACCAATTCAGGAAAGAATAAGTAAAATGTGGCACCTATATAAACCTATAGCAAAAATATACATTACTGATACATGTTACAATACAGATGAACTTTGAAAATATGCTACATGAAATAATCCAGATACATGTATACTGTTAGCTGCTAATACATAGGATTTATTTTATATATTTATTAGAATTTGATTATAAATTCATAGAAGGGAAAACTGTTGTGAATTTTATAACTTCCTTTCACCTACGTTATCCAGAAATTAATTCATCAATGTAGTTTATTTCACAGAAGGAATTAATACCTAGAGAAAGGCCTTACCTATGGTGCAATTGCCTGTAGAAGTCACTGCTGAACAAGGGCAGCGACGACATTCTTTAGTAGCATCGGGACTCTGATAAAATCCTTCTTTGCATTCTTCACAGTGATCCCCTTTGCTATTTTCCTGGCAGTTTAAACAAGCACCTAAAATAATCAAATTATTGTTTCAAAGTTAAGGAACTTTCAGAAATCCTGCCTGCAACAGGAAGACCATAAGAATATACAGAAAAAGCAGCAAGAGTACTATTTGGTTTCTATTCTTTTTTATTTCTTTAAAAAGAAAAAGAACAATTCAAAATGGAGACATGGCTCCATTGTTAAGATAGCTGGGTTTGATTCCCAGCACCTATGTGACCAGCTTCCAACTGTCCTTTACAGCAGTCCAAGGGGATTCTATACCCTCTTCTGACCTCTGGGGGCCAGGCACACATGCATACATGAGGACAAAACACTGATACACATAAAATAAAATAAATAAATTTATTTTAAAAATATTTATTACTTATGTGTATGTGTATATGCCTACATGTATTTCTGTGCAACATGTATGTGAAACTGCCCTTGGAGAACAGAAGAGAGAATTGGAATTCTATGAAAAAGTGGTTGTGAGCTGCCCAATACAGATGTTGGGAACTCAACCTGGGGCCTCTGCAAGAAGAGCAAATGCTTTTAACAGCTGTGCCATCTTTCCAGCCCCTCCTGATTTATTTCTGTACTAGCTATGTATATGAATTCAACGTCTCCTATGAGAAAAAAGCTGGGTATCTGATTATAGTCACAATATGCTTTTATTGGTTGATTGGCTACTTATTAAAAACAGACTAACTTGTGCAAAGAAAAAATAATACATATTAATAGAAGAATAAATAAATTGTGGCACTTTCATAGTTTAGATTTTATAGTCAAATACTGAACTACTTATGTTACAAACATGCATCTTAAAGAAAGCATTGGTTGAAAAGCAAACTGAGGAATGGCACATGTAATGAATATTTATTTTGTAGAATTTCAGAAAGCCATACTTGGGGTTGGAGATATAGCTTGGATGTTAAGAATACTGGATGTTCTTCCAGAGGACCCCAGTTCAATTCCCATCACTTACAATGGCAGTTCACAATCATCTTTAACTCTAGACCCAGATGATCTGGCACCCTCTTCTGCCTCCAAAGGCACTGCATGCATATGATACACACACACACACACACACACACACACACACACACACACACACACAAAACACTCATACACGTAAAATTAAAATGAAGTATCAACTCCAAATAAGGACCACTCATGGAGAGGACCTAGACCCCCTGTTTAAAGGAAGCCCATAGGTTGTTCAGTGTCCAAGTTGGTTCCCTTGTAAGGGGTACAGGGGCTGTCTCTGACATAAACTCAGTGGCTGACTCTTTGATCACCTCCCCCTGGAGGGTGCAGTCTTGACAGGCCACAGAAGATGATGCAGCCAGTCTTGATGATACCTGATAAGCTAGTGTCAGATAGAAGGGGAGGAGGTCCTCCCATACCAGTGGACTAGGGAAAGGGCGTAGGGGGAGAAGGGAGAGGGTGGGTGGAACTGGGAGGAGATGAGGGAGAAGGCTGCAGTGGGGATACTAAGTGAATAAATCATAATAAATAAATTAAATTATAATTTAAAAATGAAGTATCAAAAAGCAACACTAAGCAAATACAAAACCACATAATACATCAAACCAAAAAATAAACACATACATAGTAAAAACTTTAAATATGGACAGAGGCAGCTTAAGAAAATTTATTGTCTCTGTGAACAAATGAAAGAAAATATGAGTAAGGAGAAAACAAAGGTTCGATTTCATTTATAATTTTTCATTCCAAATATGTGTTGTGATGGCTATTCTTGTTTGTCAACTTAAGAACAACTGGAATTAACTAAAACTTAAGGGTCTGGGTACACTTGTGATAGATTTTCTTAATTAAATCATTTGAAGTGGAAGAACCACCTTTAATCTGAACTATATATTCTGGTGGCAAACTATATAAAGGACACGAAATAAAGAACTTTTTGCTCTTGGCTTTCTTGCACTCACTTTAGCTGGTAGGTCTATTTCTTCACTGGTGTTAGAGCCTACTTCTTCAGGGTTCTTGTGTACAGTGAAGACCAGCTGACACATCCAGTCTACAGACTGAGCAACTACTACATGCTTGGACTTTCCATTAGTTGATAGCCACTGTTGGACTGGCTAGACTACAGTGTGTACGCCACTCTAAAAAATCTCATATATATATATGTGTGTGTGTGTGTGTGTGTGTGTGTGTGTGTGTGTATACATATACATATATATGGGATTTTATTATATATTATATATAATATATACATAAAAGTGATCCTGAATGCACATATATATATTCATTCATACATATTCATTTCATCAGTTCTTTTTGTCTAGAAAACCCCAACTAATACAGTATCTATACATATATGGATAAATATTAAGCAAAATGCTGGCAAAATATTAGTATTTATTAATTTTAGATGTGGATATATGGGCATGCTGGTTAGTTTTTTGTCAATTGATATAAGCTAGAATCATCTTGAAGACAGAAACCCCAGTTGAGAAAATGCCTCCGTTGGATTGGCTGTGTGGTGGTTTGAATGAAAATGGACTCCATAGGTCCTGATGTTTGAATACTTGGTCTCCAGTTTATAAAACTGCTTGGGAAGGAGTAAAAGGCATCGCCTTGTTGGAGGAGGTGTGTCACTAGGTGGTGGGCTTTCAGCTTTTAAAAGACTCCAGCTATTCCTAGTGTACCCTCTCTGCCTGCTGCTTGAGGACTGGACTGAGATGTAAACTCTCAGATGCTGCTCTAGACAACAAGCTTGCTGTTTGCTGTTATATTGCCCCAAATCATGATGGACTCAAACTCTCTGAAACCATAAGGTCAGTCAAAACATTTTCTTCTATAAATTACCTTACTCAAGTTTATATGGCATTTTCTTGTAATGAGAGAGGGCCCAGATCACTGTGGAGGTACCAACCCTAGGAAAGTAATCTTGAGTTGTATAAGAAAGCAGGCTGAAGGGTAATGGAGGAGTGGATAAGGACAGAGAATGTGGGGGGAAGGAACTGAAAGGAGAAGAGAGTGGAAATTGTCATCAAGATGTAACACGTGATAATTAATTTAAAAGAAAAGAAAAAATATGCAAGAGCAAAAACAAAACCAACCAAACAAATAAACAACAACAACAACAAAACCCTAACAGCCAACAATAACAAAAGAAAGCAGGCTGAGTAAGTCACGAGGAACAAACCAGTTAAGCAGTGTTCCTCCACAGCCTCTGCTTTAGTTCCTGCCCCCAGGTTTTCTACCTTGAATTCCTGTTCTAACGTCCCTCAGTGAGATGTGAAAAATGAAATAAAGCATTTCTTCTCCAAGTTGCTTTTGATCATGATGTTCATCACAGCAATAGAGAACAAATTAGGACAATGAACTTTTGTTACACTTTTCTCCACAAGTTTTGACATTGCAAAGTGGAAAGTCAAAAAGTGATTAATAGAAAAGTGAGAAAGAGGCAGAGTCATGCGTTTTGGGACAGCACTCCTTTGGCACTCCGTGCTGAAGGATCTTTGAGAGAGATTAAGCAGCACCACATCTACAAACAGACTGAGATGGTGTAGTGTAAATCAGACTTAGAACTACTGCTACATAAGTGGGTAAATTTTACAACAAACTAAAATCAGCTGATATTAACATTCATTAAGTCTTACTTGATGTAATGCTCTTACTCATGTAATATTTACAAAAATGGATGTGGCAGAAAGGATGGGACTATGAGATAAAATGATATGACAAAAACTGGAGCAAGATTTGCAAGCCAAAACAATGAAAATGATATTAATAATGTGTGCTCTCAATTCCTAAAGGATTACATAAAATCCCCTAAATTCCATGACTTACTGAAAGAGATATTTTCATGCTATCTGGATACTTAACTTTGATTTTAACTGAATTTTCTTGCAAATATCATCTTTTAAAGTCATATAAGATATATTTACTTATGAATATAGCTCAAACTGGCCTCAAATTTACTATTTACCTAAATTTGGCTTTGAATACCTGATACTCTTGGCTCCATCTCCAAATTCTGGGATTATAGGCAGGTGCTAACACGCCGGGTTAAATCATGTAATGTTTACAGATATTAGTGAAAGTAATAAGGCACTTTTCGTATGTGTAACAAAATAAGATGTACTCATATGGTGATAAAAACACTTTGAAACTGCTTTCCTTCTAAATCTTATTCCTGACACCTCTGTAGCTATCAACTCTACAACAATAAAAGTTTGCTTTAAAAAAAGTTTGCTTAAAAAATCTCAGACAATTGTGGATATGGTTTTAAAACAAAATCTATTTAAATTTTAGTTTTTAATTATTGTTGTTTCAGGTCACAGAAAGAAGTCTTAATTCTACTCTAGGAGTAATGATAGGCTACTACAGGGCTTCATCACAGAGAATGTCATAATTATGTTTTATAATTGTAAAAGTTCTTACATGGAACCTGGACTATAGTATGAATAGGAACCTAGGGAGAAGGCAACAGACAGGAAGCAGAAAGATCAGGAAGGAAAGGCCAACTACTTCAAATAGGCAGTAATGCCTGGTTAAGGATGCAAAATCAGTGATTGGATCAAGGCATATCTGAAGATGACAGAACTTGCTAGTTGACTATATATTTGTGGTAAGAAAGGGAGGGAAATCACATATGACTTCAAGGTTTAGGAACTGAGCAAAGAAATAAGTAGCAGTTACTAAACTGAAGAACACCCTAGATGAAGAACAGACACCTATTAGTGGGAAATGGGCATTTTGGATATTGGGATTTTAATGTCAATAAAAACATTCAAATGAAGTAGCTTGTGGGATGTTTGAGCATGGAGATCTAGGGAGAAATGTAAGCCTGACAATAAGCACATATATCAATGTCATTTAAATGGAATCTGGGGCCTGCGTATGATCCCTCAGAAAGTACAAATGGAGGGGACAAATGTGCTAAGCTCCAAGCTCTGAGGCAGCAGTATAGAGCTGACTGAAGATGATGGAACACAGTGAAGAACAAGAAAATGTATCCACACAGGAAGCCAGGAAAGTGTGGCATTTCGAAGCAA